GCGCCGCTCCGCTGTCCGTCGTCGTCTTCGTCGTGTCTTCGTCGTCGTCCTCGCCGTCGTATTCGGCGTTATTCCCCACATGCTTCGTGGGGTTATGGTTTTCTCCCCTGCCGCGCCGCACCCGCGACACACACCTCACTCTTCGTACAGCACAGCTCAGCACAGCACATCACAGCACAGCACAGCACAGCACAGCTCAGCTCAGCACAGCACACACCTCAGCTCAGCCCAGCACACAGCACAGCTCAGCACAGCTCAGCACAGCCCAGCACGGCTCAGCTCAGCACAGCACAGCACAGCTCGTTGCACTGGCGCAAAGCCTAGCAAGCGTGGCACTTCCTCGACACCACAGGGGGTGCGCAGGGGGTGGTCTCTCAGCTCGGTCGCTATCCACGACACTGTCGCAAAGCCTAGTAGGCGTGGCACTTTCTCGACACCACAGGGGGTGCGCAGGGGGTGGTCTCTCAGTTCGGCCGCTATCCACGACACTGGCGCAAAGCCTAGCAGGCGTGGCACTTTCTCGACACCACAGGGGGTGCGCAGGGGGTGGTCTCTCAGCTCGGCCGCTATCCACGACACTGGCGCAAAGGCTAGCAGGCGTGGCACTTTCTCGACACCACAGGGGGTGCGCAGGGGGTGGTCTCTCAGCTCGGCCGCTATCCACGACACTGGCGCAAAGCCTAGCAGGCGTGGCACTTTCTCGACACCACAGGGGGTGGGCAGGGGGTGGTCTCTCAGCTCGGCCGCTATCCACGACACTGGCGCAAAGCCTAGCAAGCGTGGCACTTTCTCGACACCACAGGGGGTGCGCAGGGGGTGGTCTCTCAGCTCGGCCGCTATCCACGACACTGGCGCAAAGCCTAGCAGGCGTGGCACTTTCTCGACACCACAGGGGGTGCGCAGGGGGTGGTCTCTCAGCTCGGCCGCTATACCATAGCAGGCGTGGCACTTTCTCGACACCACAGGGGTGCGCAGGGGGTGGTCTCTCAGCTCGGGCCGCTATCCACGACACTGGCGCAAAGCCTAGCAGGCGTGGCACTTTCTCGACACCACAGGGGTGCGCAGGGGGTGCTCTCTCAGCTCGGTCGCTATCCACGACACTGGCGCAAAGCTACAGGCGTGGCCCTTTCTCGCACAGGGGGTGCGCAGGGGTGGTCTCTCAGTTCGGGCCGCTATCCACGACACTGGCGCAAAGCCTAGCAGGCGTGGGCACCTCTCGACACCACAGGGGTGTGGGCAAGGGGGTGTCTCTCAGCTCGGCCGCCACGACACTGGCGCAAAGCTAGCAGGCGTGGCACTTTCTCGACACCACAGGGGGTGCGCAGGGGGTGGTCTCTCAGCTCGGCCGCTATCCACGACACTGGCGCAAAGGCTAGCAGGCGTGGTCGACACCGCAGCAGGGGTGGTCTCTCAGCTCGGCCGCTATCCACGACATGGCGCAGCCTAGCAGGCGTGGACTTCTCGACACCACAGGGGGTCGCAGGGGGTGGTCTCTCAGTCGGCCGCTATCCCGACACTCAGCTAGCAGGCGTGGCACTTTCTCGACACCAAGGGTGGGCAGGGGGTGGTCTCTCATCTCGGCCGCTATCCACGACACTGGCGCAAAGCCTAGCAGGCATAGCACTTTCTCGACACCACAGGGGTGTGCGCAGGGGGTGGTCTCTCAGCTCGGCCGCTATCCACGACACTGGCGCAAAGGCTAGCAGGCGTGGCACTTTCTCGACACCACAGGGGGTGCGGAGGGGGTGGTCTCTCAGCTCGGCCGCTATCCACGACACTGGCGCAAAGCCTAGCAAGCGTGGCACTTTCTCGACACCAAAGGGGGTGCGCATGGGTGGTCTCTCAGCTCGGTCGCTATCCACGACACTGCCGCAAAGCCTAGCAAGCGTGCACTTTCTCGACACGCACAGGGGGCGCGCAAAGGGGGTGGTCTGCTCAGCTCGGCCGGCTATCCACGACACTGGCGCAAAGCCTAGCAGGCGTGGCACTTTCTCGACACCACAGGGGTGCGCAGGGGGTGGTCTCTCAGCTCGGCCGCTATCCACGACACTGGCGCAAAGGCTAGCAGGCGTGGCACTTTCTCGACACCACAAGGGGTGCGCAGGGGGTGGTCTCTCAGCTCGGCCGCTATCCACGACACTGGCGCAAAACCTAGCAGGCGTGGCACTTCTCGACACCACAGGGGGTGCGCAGGGGGTGGTCTCTCAGTTCGGCCGCTATCCACGACACTGGCTCGACAGCCTAGCAGGCGTGGCACTTTCTCGACACCAAAGGGGTGGGCAGGGGGTGGTCTCTCAGCTCGGCCGCTATCCACGACACTGGCCGCAAAGCCTAGCAGGCATGGCACTTTCTCGACACGCACAGGGGGTGCGCAGGGGGTGGTCTCTCAGCTCGGCCGCTATCCACGACATTGCGCAAAGCCTAGCAGGCGTGGCACTCTCTCGACACCACAGGGGGATGCGCAGGGGGGTGGTCTCTCACTACCACGACACTGGCGCAAAGCCTAGCAGGCGTGGCACTCTCTCGACACCAAAGGGGGTGGCATGGGTGGTCTCTCAGCTCGGCCGCTATCCACGACACTGGCGCAAAGCTAGCAGGCGTGGCACTTTCTCGACACCACAGGGGGTCGGAGGGGGTGGTCTCTCAGCTCGGCTATCCACGACACTGGCGCAAAGGCTAGCAGGCGTGGCACTTTCTCGACACCACAGGGGGTGCGCAGGGGGTGGTCTCTCAGCTCGGCCGCTATCCACGACACTGGCGCAAAGCCTAGCAGGCGTGGCACTTTCTCGACACCACAGGGGGTGCGCAGGGGGTGGTCTCTCAGTTCGGCCGCTATCCACGACACTGGCGCAAAGCCTAGCAAGCGTGGCACTTTCTCGACACCAAAGGGGGTGGGCAGGGGGTGGTCTCTCAGCTCGGCCGCTATCCACGACACTGGCGCAAAGCCTAGCAGGCGTGGCACTTTCTCGACACCACAGGGGGTGCGCAGGGGGTGGTCTCTCAGCTCGGCCGCTATCCACGACACTGGCGCAAAGCCTAGCAGGCGTGGCACTTTCTCGACACCACAGGGGGTGCGCAGGGGGTGGTCTCTCAGCTCGGCCGCTATCCACGACACTGGCGCAAAGCCTAGCAGGCGTGGCACTTTCTCGACACCACAGGGGGTGCGCAGGGGGTGGTCTCTCAGCTCGGTCGCTATCCACGACACTGTCGCAAAGCCTAGCAGGCGTGGCGCAGGGGGTGCGCAGGGGGTGGTCTCTCATTCGGCCGCTATCCACGCTGGCGCAAAGCCTAGCGTGGCACTTTCTCGACACCACGGGGTGGGCAGGGGGTACGACACTGGCGCAAAGCCTAGCAGGCGTGGCACTTTCTCGACACCACAGGGGGTGCGCAGGGGGTGGTCTCTCAGCTCGGCCGCTATCCACGACACTGGCGCAAAGCCTAGCAGGCGTGGCACTTTCTCGACACCACAGGGGGTGCGCAGGGGGTGGTCTCTCAGCTCGGCCGCTATCCACGACACTGGCGCAAAGCCTAGCAGGCGTGGCACTTTCTCGACACCACAGGGGGTGCGCAGGGGGTGGTCTCTCAGCTCGGCCGCTATCCACGACACTGGCGCAAAGCCTAGCAGGCGTGGCACTTTCTCGACACCACAGGGGGTGCGCAGGGGGTGGTCTCTCAGCTCGGCCGCTATCCACGACACTGGCGCAAAGCCTAGCAGGCGTGGCACTTTCTCGACACCACAGGGGGTGCGCAGGGGGTGGTCTCTCAGCTCGGCCGCTATCCACGACACTGTCGCAAAACCTAGCAGGCGTGGCACTTTCTCGACACCACAGGGGGTGCGCAGGGGGTGGTCTCTCAGCTCGGCCGCTATCCACGACACTGGCGCAAAGCCTAGCAGGCGTGGCACTTTCTCGACACCACAGGGGGTGCGCAGGGGGTGGTCCCTCAGCTCGGCCCGCTATCCACGACACTGGCGCAAAGCCTAGCAGGCGTGGCACCTTCTCGACACCAAAGGGGGTGGGCAGGGGGTGGTCTCTCAGCTCGGCCGCTATCCACGACACTGCCGCAAAGCTTTGCAGCCGTGGCACTTTCTCGACACCACAGGGGGTCTCCGAGCGCGGCCGCCACCCACGACACTGTCGCAAAGCTTAGCAGGCGTGGCACTCTCCCGGGACTATAGGGCCAGCGCAGGGGGTGATCTCTTGGTGCAGTGATTATCCACCGCATTGCGCGTGAGAGCTTGCGTCTTACCCTGATCCGTAAACATCGCGGCTCAAGCCGGCGCGGCACGACTGCGCATTTACGCAAGTTTGTTTGTGTTCCAGCTTGCGGGCAACAACCGCCCGGCCTACGCGCGGCAGCAATGCCGCCCAAAATTGGCATTGGACAGCTGCCGCCTCCGTGCGTGAAGCTGAAGAACGCACTGACTGAAATGGGCGACGATGTAAGCCTGGAAGGCTTGCGTGGCTGCGAAGGGCCTCTGATAAGAAACGCATTCGATGCCTATCACCATCAACTGAAGAATTGGTGGCCCGAGACGCTTTACATGAGGTATAACGAGTTGCTGCATCCAGGTACGAACGACGATAGCAGGAGGCAGTGCCTGGTGGCATACTTGCTGAACCCTTCGTCCGGCGGGTTCCCGGCTGATCAGCTGGGGGGCAGTGCGGAGGATGGCGATGGCTCGCCGTTGGCGAAAGTTCGGCGGGTCGGCGACGCCGGCAACGGGGGCGTTCGTTGCCACGCCCGCGCAGGACACGCCTATCAAGTGCACGCCCATGCAGGCCTTCACTCCCCAGCGGTCCCCAGCACTTCTGCTTGCTACCTCTGTTCGTTCCACGGGTACCCCGCGCATTCAGCTGTCCCTTGAGCTGGCTCAGACGGACCGCCGCTGGGCAGAAGTACCTTGGTCGCAAGGCCTGCGAGAATCAGTTCAGCTCGAGAATCGTCGACGAAAGCGGATGCGAAAGCAGTCAAATGGCACAAGGCATTCGCGGCCAAGC